AAAGAAAAACGAAAAAAAAAAAATGGCAGATGAACAATTAGCACCACACGATATACACGCACATTCGCACGTGCGTGCGAGTGTGCGTGATCGTGTGGCACACGAATTTTGCCGCAGTTCAGAACATCTGCGAATCACAAGGCGAAAAATTCACCAGATTCAGAATGCTATTCCAGTAATTTTTCCCGTCCTCGTAATAATCACCGCCGTCTGCGCCGCCGCTGCCGCTGTTGTTGTCAGACTCGCCGCCGTCTTCCGCCGTGCTCAGCCCGCCGAGCAGCAGGTCCGTGAACTTCTTTGAGAAATTCTCACCGGGCACCTGCTCCGGCGGCGGCGACTCCCATTCCTCCGGATGAAGCGGCGGAAGTGGCGGCGGGGGGATCGAGTCCCCGGCCCCGTCCCTGTACTCCGCCAGGTGGCGTCGCCAGTCGTCCTCCGACTCTTCCTTCGCCGCTCCGCCGTCTATGACCCCGGCGGCGGTGCTCAGCGTCGATGTCGGCGATTCCAAGTCACCGCCGATCCCAGGCGGCGAGATCCCGCCGCCACTCCACGCTGCCTTCAGTACGTCGAGGCATCGGGCCGGGCCGCCAGCGGGCTTGTGGATCTGACTCGAGTTGGAGGCAAATTGATCGGAGCCTTGATTCTGTTTGATATATATATTAGTTGATAAAATCATATAGTAATTCATAATTGCACATTTTTGCTATGGAGAAACAATTCTAGCCGTGAACCATCCAAAATTACTCACCAAATAATAAATGGAACATTATCCTAAAATAATTGTAGTAACATCACAAAAGTAGTCATTTCAATTTGTAAAAGTTGAAAAATATAGTAATTTTTTTGGAAAATACGACGGTCCCGTTGCGGAATCATTTCGTCGGGGTTTGTAACCATTATATCAATTATCTCTAACGGTTATTATATGATGATCTAACGGTTACAAATCCCGATGAAATGATTCTGTAACGAGACATCAGCATTTCCCTCAATTTTTAATTGGCATGAGAAATGACCATAATACTCCCTCCAAACTTTTCACTCAAACCATTTCTATAGTTTAAAATAGCTTATGTATTTTTTATTAAAAAAATTATAAAAGTAAGGATAAGCTTGTCATTTTACAAAGCTAAATGACTATCATTCACACTTTCACAATAAGTGGTTATGTTTCATATTTATATCTGTCGTTCGGCTATCAATTCAAGGGATTAATCATACGTGACATGTATCAATACATTAATTCAGACCTGAAAGGGAGGTGATGGGCAAGGTCGGAGCTTGGACTGCCTGACCAAACGGGCTTCAGCTTCGAGGCGGGCGCTCTCCCATTGGGCCATGTGGCTGAGATTGGCGGCATTCTTGGATTGGCCGTCACTAGACAAGAGAGCGTCGTTTTTGGGCTTGTGGGTAACCGGGTCAATGCCCATTTTGGCGAGCCTTTTCTTGAGATGGGTATTCCAATAATTCTTGATCTCGTTGTCGGTCCTTTTGGGCAAATGAGTGGCTATGGCTGACCACCTTAATGATCAATTTTGTAAGAAGATGACATAATCAAACCAAAAATAATCCATGATTCTTGGAGTGAAAAACTATCTCTTAAGGTTTTAAATATACCCAAAATGTGATGTAAATGATGTAATTCCCAACATGTAATGTATAATAATATTTAGTAAGATTCGGTAATAACAGTGCAGTTATCGAGTTTTACACCGTTTGGTCAGGAAAGAAGAGTGAAATCGAGCCTATCTTTTGTTAGGAATAT